GACTGGGCTACACACCACCGTATCAACAAAGCTATGATCCTGGAAATTCTAGGAATGAATCCATTTCTGTGCTTTTCCTAGTTTCTGCAGGCTACAGGGATTTCTTGGCTGCTCACCTCTTACCCCATCTTTGAAGGTGAGAACACAGCATCTCTCTGGCTCTGACTCATTCCGAGGGCCTCCACCTTCCAACTGGTGATTGCCTTAGGTCTGCCTGGGTCCTCCCAGATAAACTTCCTGGGCTCAGCTGTCTAGCAACCCTCCCTTCCCTTTGCCACATAACCTAATGTATTTGCAGGTCCTGGGTATTAGAATAGGGACAACTCGGGTGGAGGTGGGGGACATCCTTCTCTCTGCTGCCCCTCAGGGTTTCCATGGACGCATGAGAAAGGGAGGGCCTGAAATTATTCCCAGTAGCAAAGCAGACAACTGTTCTCTGCTTTGGTGGCATCTTCTGTGTTGTCTGTTTGCAGACCTATTCCTCTGGCTTTCTACTTGGAAGCCCACAGTGCCTGCTCCCAAGTGGTTGGTTCAGAAGAATATCTTGTTTCCAAATCCTCAGTCAAGAACCTGGCCCGGAATGAGTCAGACAACTCTCTCTGACTCCTCTAATAGTCTGAGTGTCCAGGCCAGATGCCAGCACTTAGGACAGGCCAGCTCTCCTGGAAGGAAGGGCAGCAGAGACAAAGCCACTGGTACCAAGGATAAACGAAGAGTAAAGAAATACCCGAGTATCTTCAAGCCACCCCGCCCCTCCAGTTCTCCTATCCTCCCCTCCCACCCAGGCCCCCGACTCCTGCGATAGTCTCCACGTGACATCAATAGGGGGCAGTGGAGTTGAGGTGGCATTCACTGGGCTGCCATTTGGCTCACTCAGGACATTCCTATTCGCTTTGATGGGTCCAAAACTCTAACCTAGGTCTGACTTAGCCAGAAGACAGAATCAGGGAGGGAGAGAGCAGTCACAGTCACTCGAGGCTGCCCCTGATTCCAGGAGTGCACAGCCCCGTAGCAGGGGTGTTTCGTGAGGTTCTGTGTTCCCCTTGTTTCTTTGCTGGTTTGTTTCCTTTCCTATGCCTGTAAGACCTTGGGAAGCTGCAATAAAATACTTTCGTAGAGTAGGCTTTAGGAGGCCATCTTTCTGTGAACGTGAGCTTGTATTCATTTGCTTCGTAGAGTAGGCTTTTGGAGGTCATCTTTCTGTGAACATGAGCTTGTATTCATTTGCTGGGGTCACGGCTTCCCTGACGTGAAGCACATCCTTTATAAAATGCCAGACTGTACAGATGCTGGAAACATCTGTGATACTGGTGGCCTGACTCTGCAGGGAATGTACCTCAAGTGACCTCTCCCAGGGACTGATGCGCTAACACAGCAGCGGTGGGGATGCTCGGCCCCACCATAAAAGGCAAACAAAAGACTGGTCCTAGGGCTGATGCCCATATAGGAACAACTGCACAGAGCATCGTTAACTCAGCTCCCATAGCACTGGGAAAGCTCAGGGATCTGACAAATGTAGGACTCGGGACACGTGGGGACCCTTAGGAGGGAAACAAGGGCTGTGTGTAGGATCACAGGGGAGAGGGTTCCCAGGAGAGGGAACTGGATGGGCAGAGCTGGGGATGGGTGGGTCTTAGAGCCCAGGGATGTGAACAGAGCCCAGGGAAGCAGAGGGAGCTGGGCTGCCAGTGGGCCAGGAGGCCACCGAGCAGGACTTCACAGTCTTCCTGACAACTTTGAGAATGACCTTGGTACTACCCCAGCTCCTGTTTGGAGCGTGTAGAAATGTAAGGAAGTAAATGGCAGAAGACATGTACCAGCTCGAATAGCCAGTGTAAGGGAGGTCGGGCCCCCTCGGAGTCCATACAGGACACACCCAGATGCCAGAGTCTCAGAGGGCCAAGCAGGGGGGTCAGAGGAGGCTACAGAAGCAGCGGCAGTGGCAGCAGCAAACAGGTGTGTTTGTTTGCTATTTGCAGAAGTGGGTTTTTAAGCAGGAAAAGGGGGAGCCTGTGCTAGGGAAGGTGATTTGGTAAATCCTGGACATATTAGCCAAATAACGAATTTTGTTTATTTACTTTTTTTAAGATTTATTTTTGTAGCTGGGCTGTAGTGCGCACGCCTTTAATCCCAGCACTTGGGAGGCAGACGCAGGAAAATCTCTGTGAGTTCGAGGCCAGCCTGGTCTAGTTAGATCTAGGTCAGGCTCCTAAAGTTACACAGAGAAACCCTGACCTGAAAAACAATAGCAGCAATAACAACAAAAAGACTTATTTTTGTTTTATGGGCATTGGTGTCTTGCTGCATGTGTCTGTGTGAGGGTATCAGATGCCCTGGAACTGGAGTTACACGCTGACACACCTGGGTTCTTGGAATTGAACCCAGGTCCTCTGGAAGAGCAGCCAGTGCTCCTAACCACTGAGTCATCTCTCCAGCCCCAAACAATGAATTTTGGTTGTCCGACTTCTGAAATTTTTGTCTCAGGGATGAGTCAGTGACCAAATAAAGGAACAGACCTTGGGGACCAGCTTTAGGAATGTGATCCGATGGTTCATCAAGGGGGAAGGGTAGAAGGCAAAGCCTGTAGGTGCCATGTTTGCCAGGCGCGGGGCTGCTAGTGTCCTTCAACCAGGGCAGAGTCCTGCTTGGGAGAAAGACTGAGGACATCTACGAGAGTTAATCTTCATCGTCAGCGTGACAGGATTTGGAGTCACCTCGGCCACAAACTCCGGGGTGTGTCTGAGGGGGCTTTTGAAGAGACGTTTAACTGAGGATGGGACTCATGGTAAACGAGTCTGCATCTTCACATGGGCGGAGGTGCTAGACAGCAGAGAGCAGGCCGGCCGGGAGCCAGCACACACGTCCATCTGTCCTTCCTGGCTGTAGACCCAGCGGGAGCAGCTGCCTCACACGGCAGCCCCCAAGCCTTCACTGCCACGGTAGACTGTGTTCTCCAACTCAGAGCCCGAATGATTGATCCTTTCCCGGTATTTGGTTAGCGCAAGAGAGAAGTGACTAATTGAACATCCTCCTCCGGAGCTGGAGAGCAGACCGTCACACCTGTGGCAGCCATGAGTGAGTCACTCATTGGCGAGGGGGTGGAGGTGTGTGAACAGACAATGTTAGAACCTCTCCTGCTGCGGGGTCATTGCTCCCCGTGTGTGCTGGAAATGAGCGGTAACTCGGGTGACCCCTGACCTGACGCCGCTCCCACCCTCAGTGACAGCTGAGGCTTTGGGGTTCCATCAGCCGGGCTCTCACATCAGCACCCCACTGCCAGGAAGGCGGATGGGAGTCAGCTGTGCCTGAGATGTCGTGGAAACTGGAGGGTCACCTCTGAGACGTGGAGGGCTGGGAGGGGCCAGGGCGGGGCTGGAGCCCAGGGCAGGGGAGAGCAGGAAGCATTTCCAGGCAATCTCGTCATATGGGGCAAAGGGGTTTGACTACAGAAAGAAGCAGGCAGCTACTCGGACTGCCTCAGTCCTGTATCAGAACTAAGGCATGCCAGCTTGTATGCAAACCCAAAATATCAGCTTTTCTTTTTCTTGTTTTGTTTTCCCTGTGTAGCTTTGGAGGCTGTCCTGGAACTCACTCTGTAGACCAGGTTGACCTCCAATTCACAGAGATCTGCCTGCCTCTGCCTCCCGAGTGCTGGGATTAAAGGCGTGGGCCACCACTGGCCGGCTGCCACTGTGGACACTAGGAGGGACATGGCAAGCCATGCCATTTTATGTCCCTGAGGGTGATCCACTGCTAGACCACACTCCAGCCCACGTCTCCTGGGACTCATACAGTGAGTGACATAAAATGAGCTCAGTAACCAATGGGTGAATGGGTGCTCCATGGTTAACGGTTTCCAAAACCGAGATGCCTGCTAATTGTACAGTCTTGTTTCCTATTTGAGAAGCTAAACTCGCACTTGCTGGTCAAGCTGACCAGTTCACTCTGAAAGTTATCAGACTCAGCACCACCAGCCCCTGTCTGTCTGGGGAAGGGCAGGGGGACGGTGAAGTCAGCCAGGATGGGAGGGAATCCTGGGGACTGCACCTGGAGGCTGGAAACATCTCTCCACTGAGAGTCTAAATAAAAGACAATGCGGGGTGAGAGTTACCTTATCACTTCCCCTAGAAAAGAGCAACTAACTCCATCCTGGATGATCCCTTGAGTAAGAAAATGGTCCTTTGTAAAAGCAGACGATTCTGGGGACCGTGTGGCTAAAGGACATGACAGATCTGGGCTACTCACTCACTCCAGCAATCTGGACTCCCTAAGCCCAGGGCTCTTCTCCTGTAGGGTGAATGGGTCATGTGTGTTACAGTAATGTACATTCACAGTGTGCCAGGAAGCATTCCTGTGTGCCCACATGCACAGCCAGCCTCCTGGGGACCCGGAGGCAAAAGGGGCTGACACGAATATGCCCAGGCTCACCCTGCCTGCTGGGCCCTGAGTGATGGGATCCGGTCTCTGACTCAGTGTCCTGTCTTCCGCCAGCATCCGGGAAGCTAGCAAGGAGGAGAAAACCTCTGCAGCTCCTGACACTCAGTTTACCCCAACGTTTCAGTGATCTCGGCCGTTTCTAATGGAATGCGAGCTACAGACTCTTGCTGTCTAGTAACAGACTTTCGTAATGGACCTTGACCTCTGCTAGGGCTGGAGTGTGAGGACTTGGTCCCCAGCTGGAGGGCACTGCGAGGAGGCAGCAGAAACTCTGGGTGGTGGGTCCTAGTTGGGGGAAGTAGGCCCCTGTGGGCATGTCCTTGAGAGCTGTACCATTCCAGACCATCCTCTGTCTCCCTCTGCTTCCTGGCCTTTGTGATGGACAGAAACCTCTGGAACCCTCAGTCGCGATCAACCCTCACTTAAAGCTCTCCGTCAGCGTGAGAAAAGCTACCACAGCCCCTTCATCACTTTCCCATGAGGTGCCCGCTGAGTTAGCAGAGACCTTCAAGACAGCACTCAAGGGCTTCAAACCGCAAAAGTAAGTAACGATCTGAAAACAGTTGCAATAACCTGGGAGAGAGGTTTTTATAAACAATATAAAGAATCATCTGTACTTCAGTTTCAGTGACTGCACAGACCTCGTCCACGGTAGACAAGGACAATACAGTACCAGACGCTTGGGTCCTGGCATGCTTTCCTAAGCCACGATCGGGGCCTCCTTGTGGGACTGATTTCCCGAGGGACAGAGACGGTCTTTGATCTCTCCGAACCACTTGTCTTCAAATTCTTTGGAGGATGCGGTCACCAAGGCAGTCAGGGCTGCGGGGCCGACACACTTCACCTCTGAATGAGCTTCATCTTTTATTTTTTCTGGGGTAATATCTTCCCCCATAGCCTGTAGCAGGAGAGGAGGAGGGAAAAGACCAGCCCAGTTAAAGAGGCAGCAGGCACAGAATGAAGATTATTTGCGGCTGTAAAGCCTTGCACACGAGACCCTTGGGGAGGCACTCCACCGTACTGAGAAGGCCTGACCCACAGCTGTTCTCACGGATGTCAACTGGCCTGTTTCCGTTCTCACCCTCCCCAGTACCAGAATGCCTAGGTGGCAGCTGCCCCTCCTGGGCTCCCGGGAGCACTGAGTCAGCCTCTGTATGCCGGGCTGCCCTGTTGGCAGTGGACCTTGGGCTGCTCCCTCCTGGCCAGAGGCTGAGGCTGGAAGAGTGTGGGCGGAGCTCGGGGTTTGAGCTCAGGGTGTGATGAGGGTACGGATCCATCTCTGCCAAGTCCACCTCTCACTGCCCTGGAGACTCCAACCCTCCACAGCCCAGGTTCTCCAGAGCCTTAGCATGTCCCCAAGAGAGGCACAATACTGCCCCCTCCTGGTCACGATCAAATGCAGGCACAGACTTCAGACCCTGGGTGCGGGCCTACTTTCTCTTTGATGAGACAACTCAACATGAGATTCTAGGAGGCCTTTTCGTGACCTCACTCAGTGACCTTTTGGTAATGACAGTGAGCAAAGTGAAGTCCTACCAAGTGTCGTGCTGAGCAGCACGAGAGTTCACACACCATCCAGCAGGGGCGCTGTTCAGGGAACGGGAGACACTAACCTATGGTCCTCCAACCTTGAGATCTCATGTGGCCACGAAAACCACATGTGCAACCAGAGTGGCTCTTCATGAACTATATGCTTTGTGTGTGCACACGTGTGTGTGGGTGGGTGGAGCGTGCACCCTTGCCTGTGCATGCCAAACCCAAATAAAGAAGTCCGCTGTCTCTCCTGGCCTTCCTCCCTTGAGGCGGCCTCTCACTGAACCCTAAACTGGCTGTTCTGGCTAGGCTGGTTGGCCAGTTCACAAACCCACCTTCTCTGTCCCCAAGTGCTAGGTTACAGCATTTGTAACCCTGCCTGGCTTGTGTGGGGATTCGAACTTAAGTCCTCCTGTTTGTGTTTACAACATAATGAGCTCTTCTCCACCAAGCCACCCACTCCCGCCCCAAATAACACATCTTTTGAGGTAACTGTCAATGACATGCTCTATTCATTTACTAAACATTACTAATTCATCCGTTCTGAGGGTTTTCTAAATGATTTTAATGTCTCTGAAACCATGAACTGATACGTCACATTGTGAACGGCATGGTCTTTCTCTTTCAGTGACTTATCATAGTGTCTCACAAGGGAGACTTCTTAGATTTGGTGAAAATCAGTTTTTATTTGTTTAGAGACGGGGTCTCTATGTTGTCCTGGCTGGCCTCGGACTCATTCTGTAGACCAGACTGGTCTTGAACTCACAGAGATCCACATGTCTCTGCTGCCCACATACTGGGATTAAAGGAGCGTGAAACCAGGCCTAGTCTGAAAGTCAGTATTTTAGCTGGGCAGTGGTGGTGGCACACACCTTTAATCCCAGTACTTAGGCGGCAGAGGCAGGCAGATCTCGGTGAGTTTGAGGCTAGCCTGGTCTACAGAACGAGTCCTAGGACAGCCAGGGATGCACAGAGAAACTGTCTTAAAAAGCAAAAACAAAACAACAAAAAACCTAAATCAGTGGGTTTTTGTTGTTGTTGTTCTGTTTTTTTTTTTTTTCAAGACAGCTGTCACGGTGTTCATCTCAGCAACAGTCACCCTAACTAGGACACTAAATCCTGCTTTAATAATTCTTTTCAAAAAGAACACAGGCAACAGCTCCCACTTAGACTTCAATGACGTTGCTTTCATTAACCAGATCTTAGGTTCATAGTTACCATGTACTGTGGGAAGCGACATTTATTTCCTAGCTATGGAAGAAAGTAGTCAAAGCTTCCATTTAAATTTGTGTGTGTTCACATGAGAACATGTGGGTACACATATGTACATGCCATTCATCGGGCGCCTGGTTTTTCAGACACTGTCTCATTGGCCTAGAACCCACAACAGGCAGGGTGTGCCAGCTGGCAAGCTCCAAGGCCCCGACTGCCTACCTCTAACTCCCAGGACCAGCACAGCCACACCCATCTGAGTTTTCCATGTGTGTTCTGGGGATGAAATAGGAAGAATGAAGGAAGACAAGACAGGAATGCTGACACTCATCTATAGGTCTGACTGCCCAAGAGGCTGAGGCAGGAAGATGTCCTGAACCCAACAGTGTAAGAGCAGCCTGGACTTCACACAGCAACAAGAGAAGTAACGAGGGCCCGGCGGGGATAACAGATAGCAGGAAGTGTTTCCTACAGGAACAATGTCAGGATGCACGCATGCACGCATGCTCAAAACACAGAGTCTTTCTCATGCAACAGCACTGATGCTGGCCCCAGCGGCCGGGCAGACACTGGTGTGCTCACAGGCACCAGAGTCACCGCTTGTCTGGGTTTCTTTGGGAGCTGACAAGAGTCTCAACACACAATCTCTGATGTACCCTTCAGTGTGTTCTCTACAAAAGGCCGGCTTTAGAAAGGGCTGACAGAGGCTCAAAAATGGCCTTTTCATGTCTCTGTGAGGACGGGGGAGTGACGGGGTAGGCAGAGCAGAGACAGCCCTTCTCACATCTGGTCCACACATCTGCCGCAGCGTCTATAAGCGCCACCCCCAGCTCCACCTGTCTTCACTTCCTGTGAGGATGAGAGGAGGGACGGTGCCCAAAACGCGTGCACAGGGACACTTGTCCATTAAGGTTCAGCACCACGGTGACTCAGAAGCACAGAGACGGCGCAGCACGTTCGAGGTCTTGGGTTCGAGCTCCAACACATCAGTGAGTCAGCTTAATCAACTGAGATGGGCTGTTACTTGGGACGTTCAAGTGGGCAGGCACTAATGAATGCTGCCGAGGACCAGAAAGACACTCAGGAAAATGATGAAGGACCACTTTGATGACTTGGGGGACCCAAAGGCACACAATGGGGGAGGCAGAGTCCTTCAGGGCATGAGATCGGGCCCTGCTTTGGTAAGGGGACAGCACCAGTCAGCAGGACGTTTATTCTGTGTAACTCTGAGGGGATACGCACCTCCTCCATCAACAGCACAGCACCTTCGGGGAGGCTGAGCTCCTTCACCTTCTCGGAAATCTCCTGCTGAGTCCTCAAGTTCCTCTCCAAAGCAAACGACGTTTGCTGAGATTGGGTGAGCTGAAGCAAGAGCCTGAAAAATCAGAAAGTCTCGGTGTGAGAGGCTCTGCCACAGGGCAGCAGGGGACACACGCTCCTACGTCACCACTCTAGGTCAGAATCCACCACTGATGACCACTGCCTCTCCACTGCCGTCCAAGGTTCCAATGGCCTCTTCCAGCCACCCGCTACCCTCACCCCAGCCACAGCTCTGACCACACCCCAGTGCAAAGCCTGTGAATACTCTCTGGGCCTCCAAGAAAAGGACCAACACTTATGACACCTAGGGAGTAGTAGCACATGGCTATAGTCTAGACTGGAAAGGCCAAAGGCAGAGCATCCAGACCAACCTTGGCTACACGGTGAGCACTGCCTCAAAATCAACCAACGAGCAAAAAGATAAAGTCTTAGGCTAATAAAAAAACCAAATCAGTAAAAGTGCTTAATAGCTTGCATTTACCAATGGCTAGCATTTGTGGCCTTATTGGAGGAGATGTGGCTTTATTGGAAGAACTGTGTCACTGGGGGTGGGCTCTGAGGTTTCAGAAATCCAAGCCAAGCCCAGTCTCTCCTCCTGCTGCCTGTACAAGATGTGGAACTCTCAGCTCCCTCTCCAGCACCGTATCTGTCTACCTGGGTGCTGCCATGCTTCCTGCCATGACAATGAACTAAACTGAACCTGTGAGCCAACCCCAATTAAATGTTTTCCTTTAGCCGGGCGGTGGTGGCGCACGCCTTTAATCCCAGCACTCGGGAGGCAGAGGCAGGCGGATCTCTGTGAGTTCGAGGCCAGGCTGGACCCACAGCCTCCAAAACAGAGAAACCCTGTCTCGTAAAACCAAAAACAAAAAACAAAAGTTTTCCTTTGTAAGACTTGCTGTGGTCATGGTGTCTCTTCATGTGCAACAGAAACCCCGAGACATCGGCAGACACGTGACTGTTCCCTGTGCCTTCGAGCTGAGCTTCCTCTCTGTCTCACTGAACACGGGAGCACGCCCTCCTCGCCTGAGGAACGGTGCACGAGTGAGCAACGTAACACAAAGACCTGTGGACTGCACGGATGCAGACCTTTGGGGCCACAAACTGACCCCAATGAGCAGCCCGGAAAATCATGAGGAAAAGTAGGAAAGACAGCAGACAAAGCGCCCGGGCTTGGTGGCCAGCTGCTGAGCATGCCCGACAAGGCTGGCTCTCCCTCGGCTGGTCCCCACGGCTGGTCCCCACGGCACTCCGCTCATACCAGGACGGGGCTCTCAGCAGCCCTGTGCCAGTCACTGGATACACACACCGTCCTCAGCAGGGCGACGGTTGCAAGGAAGGAGGCTCGTGTTTGTGCTTTGATCTGTTTTGCTTTGGGTTTTTTTTTTAAGCCATCTTTATGATCCTTGCACCAAGCAGGTGCCTAGCATATGTGCTTCTGAGTAAAAGTGACATAGTCACTAGGCATGGTGGCACGCGTCTTTGACTCCAGCCCTTGGGAGGCAGAGGCAAATGGAGCTTTATGAATTTGAGGCCAGCCTGGTCTACACAGTGAGTTCCAGGCTAGCCAGGGCTATATAGTGAGAAACAAACAAACAAAAGGTGACACAGTCAATGACAATTAGGCATCTGCTAATTGTTTTTAATTCTTAGTGAATCTGAATGGATTCTCCAAATTCAGAAAAAGAACCTCTGTTCTGCCCCGTGTCTACCTCCTCACTAACAAACCACAGAACTGGTCAAGGCCTCCTCCTTCCCCTTCCCTCTAAGCCACACATTTTAAGGGTCCAAAGTGCTTGCAGTCCCCAGAAGCGGCACGGGAAGGCTCTGCGGAGGGACTAAGCACCAAGCACTATGTACTGTGCACCAAGCACTGAGCCCAAGAGCAAGCTTTCTTCAGACACAAACAAGAAGCCCTTCTTCAGAAACGGCTTTCCTCTTAAATGTGTACACGTTTGAATTGTTCATCACAGACTCTGTTTCCGGTTTTCACACTCTATCTTCAGTAACAACAAGAGCTGTGCTTTTTATTTTCAAGACAACGTAATGGCCACTGGGTAGTTTCTGCCTCCTGTTTGCACCATCTCCCCAAACTCCTGGGGTGGGCATTCTCTGTTTTCACTGAGCTGACTCCATGGCATCACATGGGTCTCTGGGTTGGTTTCCAGTCTACAAGCGCAAGGGAATGTTTCTCCAGGGAACGCTGCCTGAGTCCTTCAGCAGCCTCCAACTATGAGACTTTGTCTCGTTCTGTTGGGTCAGAATCTTACTACATGCTCCAGGCTGGCTTTGAACTCATGATCTGCCTGGGCCAGGCTCCCAGGTGGGATTCCAGGCCTATACCAATAGTCTTATGAAACATTTTAACATTTGTTAGTGTCCTGTTGTGGTTTAGAATTCATTTTCCTGATGGTTGGGCTTCCTTGTACAACAGAACATAGGAACAGTCATGCCCACTTCATAGTCACTGTAAACAGAGCAGTGACAAACATGGACGCACAGTTATCATCGGGACGTGTTAGCTCAGAGCACTTCAGGTATACGCCACAGCTGGGTCATACGGTAGTTTTAGGTTTGGCTTTTGTTTTGGAGTGGATTTTTTGTTTGTTCGTTTGAGACAGGTTCTGTCTTCATAGCCTGGCTGTCCTGAAACTCTCTATGTAGACGAGGCTGGCCTCAAATTCAAAGAGATCTACCTGCTTCTGCCTCCCAAATGTTGGGGTTAAAGGCGTGCACAGCAGGTTCCTGCTTGGTTTTATTTATTTTAGTTTTGGAAGCTCACACCGATTCCTAAGCGGCTGCACTGGTCTAGTTTCTCCCCAGGCTTGCACGGCATCCCTCAGTCTCTATGTAGGGAGGCTCACCTGGTTCGGATCAGACAGGCACAGGCTTTCAGCCGCGTCTCCCTCCACGCTGCGTCTCTCCGTTCCGTCAGACAGTTCTGCGTAGTTTCTGGAACCGTCTCAGCCTTCTGGATATTACCACCACTGGCTTCCATGGAAAACACTGCAGTCTCAGGCAAGGTGGCTCCAGAGTGTGCAACGGGGGAACCGACAGCTTTGTTGTTTGAGGTGACACTCGTCTGTCCCCAAGATGCCGTACTCAATGCTGGCAGGCCTGGCCCTGGACTCAGGTAGGCCTCTGCCAATCTCCACCAGCTCCAAGGGTTCAGAGGGTGCAGGGAAATCAGCTTTTGCAAGCACAGAATTGTCTTCTCCAAGCTCCTCAAACTTGAAAAGATAGCCAAGTGGAGGTAGAGCACCGTGGAGAGATGGTCTGTGTTGGTTGCTTTATTTTCCTAAGGAGAAGAAAAGGAACAAAGAACCTTAACTGCAAGGTGTCGTCATGCAGAGAAGGAAGCATCTGGAAGCCCAAGTTGTGTGTGTTATAAACCAGAAGTGTTTTGTAGTGCTACACGGATCAAGAGAACTCAATACTTCCAAAGACTGCGTGTTTCAAACCATAAACTAGGGCCAGTAAGAGGGCTCAGCAGTTAAAGGCATTTGCAGCCAAATCTTATGACATGGGTGTGATCCCTCAAACATATATGATGGAAAAAGAAAACAGAGTCCTGCAAGTTGTTCTCCACGTGAAAGCTGTGGCTGGCTGGCACTTGTGTGCAAAATGCACACTCGCACGGATACACACACACACACACACACACACGCATGTACGCATGCACACAAATATGAAACCATATTCCTAGAAAATGACCCAGCAAATGGTCTCCAGAAACTCCTGGACACCTGTCTTAGGGTTTATATTGCTGTGAAGATACACCATGACCCTGGCAACTCTTATAAGGAAAGCATTTAATTGGGGCTGGCTTACAGTTCAGGGTTAGTCCATTATCATCACGGCGGGGAGCATGGCAGCACTCAGTCAGACATGGTGCTGGAGAAGGAGCTGAGGGTTCTACATCTTGATCCGCAGGCAGAAGTGATTGTCACGCTGAGGGTTAAGCATAGGAAACCTCAAAGGGACACACTTCCTCCAACAAGGTCACACACCCTATTAGTGCCACTTTCTTTGGGGGCTATTTTCTTTCAAATATCCCCAACACCCCAATGCCATAATGCAGCATGTGTAAGTGCCTGACAAAGTTCGCTCAACTCTTACCATGGTCCTGTTTGATTATGTGGGTACCATGTCAGGGAGGGTGAGCTAACAACTTGATGGCACTGAGAAGCACTCGGGGGCCCTGGAGGACAGTTCTAGAACATACTAGTTAATAGGGAAGACCGCACAAGCTGGCTTAGATGGAGCAGCAGGGGGAAAGAGAGAGCCAGCCAGGGCCTCTGTCCCACACCGCCTTGGCTGCCAGAAGAGGCTGCTGTCTCAGACCCCTCCATCAGGACGTACTGACTCACTGTAGCCAGAACCACAGAGCCCAGTGACAAGTGTGGACTCTGGAACTGTGCCAAGCACACCTCTCCCGAGTCACATGTGTCACAGTGGTGAGGTCACAGCAGTGAGGTCACACCTGTCACAGCGGTGAGGTCACATCTGTCTCAGTGATGAGGTCACATCTGTCACAGCGGTGAGGTCACATCTGTCTCAGTGATGAGGTCACACCTGTCACAGCGGTGAGGTCACATCTGTCACAGTGATGAGGTCACATCTGTCAGAGTGATGAGGTCACATCTGTCAGTGATGAGGTCACATCTGTCACAGTGGTGAAGTCACATCTCTCAGTGATGAGGTCACATCTGTCACAGTGGTGAGGTCACATCTGTCACAGTGATGAGGTCACATCTGTCACAGTGATGAGGTCACATCTGTCACAGTGATGAGGTCACATCTGTCACAGTGATGAGGTCACATCTGTCAGTGATGAGGTCACATCTGTCACAGTGGTGAGGTCACATCTGTCACAGTGATGAGGTCACATCTGTCACAGTGATGAGGTCACATCTGTCACAGTGATGAGGTCACATCTGTCAGTGATGAGGTCACATCTGTCACAGTGATGAGGTCACATCTGTCACAGTGGTGAGGTCACATCTGTCACAGTGATGAGGTCACATCTGTCACAGTGATGAGGTCACATCTGTCAGTGATGAGGTCACATCTGTCACAGTGGTGAAGTCACATCTGTCAGTGATGAGGTCACATCTGTCACAGTGGTGAGGTCACATCTGTCACAGTGATGAGGTCACATCTGTCACAGTGATGAGGTCACATCTGTCAGTGATGAGGTCACATCTGTCACAGTGGTGAGGTCACATCTGTCAGTGATGAGGTCACATCTGTCAGTGATGAGGTCACATCTGTCACAGTGGTGAGGTCACATCTGTCAGTGATGAGGTCACATCTGTCACAGTGGTGAGGTCACATCTGTCACAGTGATGAGGTCACATCTGTCACAGTGGTGAGGTCACATCTGTCAGTGATGAGGTCACATCTGTCACAATGGTGAGGTCACATCTGTCACAATGGTGAGGTCACATCTGTCAGTGATGAGGTCACATCTGTCACAGTGGTGAGGTCACATCTGTCAGTGATGAGGTCACATCTGTCAGTGATGAGGTCACATCTGTCAGAGTGGTGAGGTCACAGCAGTGAGGTCATAGCGATGAGGTCATAGCTGTCACAGTGGTGAGGTCACATCTGTCACAACGGTGAGGTGTGACATGTGTCTTCTTATTAGGACTGCCCTAATGGTTCCATTTTAATAGTTTAGGGATTAAGCCCCAGGTAACTCCCTGAGGACGTGGAGGAAACCCATCTGTGTCTAGCATGGATTCTTACCAGGACAGCCTTGAAGCACTCGGCTTGGTACTGAGCCCAAATGCCTTCCCTGGTGTCCCTGGCCACAGGAGGCTGCTGCTCTGTTTCCTGCTGATTAGAAAGCCCTGTGACGTCTCCATGAGAGCCATCGTCTGTCACCTAACCCGCCACATGGCAAATGCCCTGTGGGCTAGGGAAAGGTCCACTTTCCCGGGTTAGTCTGCAGAGAGCGGACAGCAGAGAGACATATGAAATCAAAGGGCAGCCCGGCCTGCCCAGGTCACACCCTTGCACAGAACTAAACAGTGTCAAACAGGACAAAGTACCCAGCGCACAGCCCACAGGAACCGGCACAGTCAGTTCTCGAGCATTCCCACAGAGAGGGAAACCACGAAGCAGACCCATGTGACTTATCTGGTGACACCATACCTACCCAAGCACTGAGCACGCCTTATTTTTAACTCTTTCCAGTGCTTCCTGAAAGAGACTTAATAAGAGCCTGGGTGCGATTCTGAATGATAGCGTTCAGTCACAGCACAGTGCCCGGCCTGCCATAGATGTGAGCTAACTGTTGGACAGTGAGTGCGCTAAAGTCAGGCTGTGCCCTTTTGACCTGGCTCTGGCTCAGGGTGCTCGCTGCAAGCCTGAAGACCCGAGTTCAATCCCTGGAAGCCACATGGCGGAAGAAGAGAGCAGTCCCCACCGACCGTCTTCTGACCCCACGTGTGCCAGCATGTAAAGACAGATTTTGCTTACGCCTTTCATTTCTAATAAGAACGTGTCTGAGGCATCTCCGGCAAACGCTCCTCTTCTCCTGCTACTGTCTAATGCCGCACTGGGCAAGCAGGGGCATGTCAGTGTGACGCAGATGCCACACACATGATCACGGCCATGATCCCCCACTCCTGCTTTTCTCAACAGGGTATGCGTGCATATATGTAGCCTAGACTGACTGCCCTTGGCCTGCTGATGCTCCTTGCACAGCCTGCCGAGGGGTGGAGTTACAGGCATGCACTGGTACGCTGGGCTCTACACTAGGACTCTGACACATTCATAAACCAGTTTCTGGTGTGGTGATTTGAATGCAACTGGCCCCGTAATCCCAAAGGGAGGGGCACTATTAGGAGGCGTGGCCTTGTTGAAGTAGGCGAGGCCTTGTTGCAGAGGCGGGTTCTGAGGGCTCTTGTGCTCAAGCTTTCTCTCTGTGACACTCAGATCACCTCCTACTGCCTGCAAACTGCGGGACTCTCCGCTCTTTCTTCAGTACCATGTCTGCCTGCACGCGGGCACGATGATAATGTACTGAGCCTCTGAACTGTGAGGGAGCCCCCAGTTAAGTGCTTTCCTTTGTAAGAGTTGATGTGGTCACGGTCTCTTCCCAGCAACAGGAACCCTGACTAAGACAGCTGGTATGCTAACTACTAAAGGAGTTGGCATAGCTGGTGTGTCCCTCTTCAGACATTAGCTCCATTTAAATGTGCTTCAGGGCTGCAACGATAACTGGGACTAGAGAGATTCGGTGGTAAGGGCACTTGCTGCTCTTGAGGAGGACCCAGGTTTGGTTCCCAGCACCCGCTCCGTGTAGTTCATGTACTCCAGCTCCAGGGGGAGCCAATGTCTCTGGGCTCCTAGGCACCCACACTCACATACCCACACGTGGACCCCAGCACATATACACACAAAATCAAAGTTTGAAATATATCTGAAAAATCTAAAAAAAAATACTCATAATCCTGCCACTCTGTGTATATAAGTCATAAAACTTCTGGAAATAGAACTTCTGAGCAATAATTCTCATATTAGCATAGGAAAAATATTCCAAGAAAATGATCACATCCAGGGCTCCGAGCTTCATGGCAATAATTACACTGCACTACTGACAGTTTCCGTCTGTGGACCACCAAGCCTGCTTCTAGCAGGCTTGTTTCTCAGGGAGTAAACGACTCGGATGTCCTTGGTACAGGGAAGCGTGAGAACAAGCAATGGGGCCACTCACCAAGTTTGCTGCAATCTCCAGCGCTTCCTTGTGTCTCCCCAGGTGAGCTAGACACCGAGCCTGGCCTTCTTGGACATCCCTTCTCATGGCGACGTTGGTAGACGGCAGCTGCTCAGAGACACTGGCGTACTCCTGCAGGGCTCTCTGCCAATTATGAAAGCAGGGGGAGACATGAGAGGGTGGGCGTGGATCTAGTGTAGAGATGGCCTTTCCTGTGCAGGAAGGAGCATTGTAACCGACCCCCCAATGACCCACGGGAAGGCCACGTTCAACCAGTACTGCTCATGTTTTTCCAAAAGGAAGAGAGAGAGTGGCTGCTGGTCACGTCTGCAGCTACGGTGAGTATCACAGGGACAGAACATTCTAGAGGCAAACAGAATAGGCTTTTAGTTCTGGATTTACTGGGACTTGTGTGGTGTGTGTGTGTGATAGGTGCATGTGGGGTGTGTAGTGTGTGTGTGGTATATGTGTTTGTGTGTGTGCTGAGACATATAGCTTCAGCTGCCTGGAACTTGCTACGCAGATTAATTCGGCTGGACTACTTGAACTCACAGGGATCCACCTGCCTCTGTCTCCACCTCCCAAGTGTTGTGACTAAAGGCGTGTGTCACAAGGCCCAGCTATATCCCCTAGTAATACTTGCATAAGATGAAATGGGACATATATGTGGAGAAATCTGACATCTAATTGCTCCTTTTTCCCTTTTCTTGCATATTTTGGGGTATTTTGTTCCCTAGGATTCTAAGATTATCCACCAATGACTAACTCCATCTCCACAAAGCACACACTAACTTGGCACACACTGTTCCTTACAGGTGCTATTTTGATAAAACAAGAGAGAGGGCTCAGAGGTTAAGAGCACTGACTGCTCTTCCAGAGGTCCTGAGTTCAATTCCCAGCACCCACATGGTGGCTCACAACCATCAATAATGAGGTCTGGTGCCCTCTCCTGGGCTGCAGGTGTACATGCAGGGAAAACACTGTAAATTAAAAAAAAAAAAAGATAGCCTCATCAAATAAACAAAAACAGGAGCCCATTCCACGAGTCCTAGTCCAACACGCGTTGGCTCCCACCTCGTATTCCTGTCGTCTGTAGGCCAGGTCCCCTCTGAATTTCTTGAGAGTGAGAACCTCCACATCATCACCACTTTCCGTCTCTCCATAGAACCACTAGAAATCAAGAAGACAGCAGTTGTGAGGAAGACGGAAGCAGTGCTTTTCCACTTCACGATCAAAAGCAATTTCCCACGATACAACCATTTAACTACCAAGGACACACTTCTTCAAGACGAGACTCAAGAGAACACAGTGGACACAGAATGACTTTATTCTTTACTTTTTGAAACAGGGTCTCATTGTATGTCCCCCAAGTGCTGAGATTACAGACCAAACGACATGGGGTCCTATGTGCAGTGTGTGTGTGTACAGGTGTGTGTGTGTGTGTGTGTGTGTGTGTGTGTGTGCCTGTGCCTGTGTGCTGTGAGGGACAGAGATCAAGGCCAGCTGTCTTTCTCTATCCGTCTCCATCTTATTTTCCAGGACGGGGTCTCCCACTCAATCTGGAGCTTACCAATCAGCTGGACTGGCGACCAGCAGGCCCTAGGACACTCCTGTCTCCAGTGGCAGTGGCCGTACCCTGTTTTTACACGGGTGCTCAGGTCCACTGAGCCACGCCCCCAGTCACCGATGACATCTTAACAATGGCCGACTCTTTAAAAACATTTTTAACACATTGTGTGCGTGAGGTCACACCCATGCCACTGCACACACACACACACACACACACACACACACACACACACAGAGCACACTTGGTCAAGTCGGCTCTCTCCTTCTACCGTGTGGGTTCTGGCGACAGAACTGGGTCATGAGACTTGGCCGCAGTCTATCTGACTTGCTGGGCCACTGTCTGATGGCCTGGGTTCTTATTAAAACGATCACAAGTACAGAGTCAGTGAGACAGCTCTGTGAGTAAAGGTACTTGTTGCCAAGTCTGACAACCTGGACCCATGTGGCGGGAGAAAGAACCAACTCCTACAGCTTGTCCCCTTCCCAACACCAGTGCCGTGGCACTCTACACACACACACACACACACACACACACACACACACACACACACACACGAATAAGTGAATATGGCCAAAAGCAATCTTTTAAGGACCACAAGTGTAAACACGTCAATAACGTATTTGTAAAAAGAAAACAGCACACATCTTCAATGGCATCCCATGTGGCGCCAAGGACTCTTTAAAGCGGTATGTTTTCGGTTAGCGCCCCAGAGTGAAAGGGGACTGACAATCCTGTGCCCACAGGGGACTGCGATTATGGTGACAGTGCTATTGTGAAGACACACAGAGAATCCAAGCACAGGGAACTGCAACTGGAAGGGCATCCTGGGCATCCCAAGCAGATTCAAGGAGACTCTGAGAGAACTCCCCTCCTCTGACTTCAAGCCCTGGGTACAAAGTGAGGCTGATTTAACTCTGCAAGCCCAGAGCAGCATCTCCTGCTCCCTTTTACAAGAAGCCTGCTGAGGCTGAAGAGCCTGTCTCTAAACTCTGCTCACTCAAATGTCCTCAACACATTCTGATGGCTTGGCTGTATTTCCAAACACTTCACCGAGGAAAGGCTCATCGCAAGCCTGCTACACTAGCTTCTCTCCCGAGCCGCCACTGGAGGGATGCTCTAAACTCTGTTCTGACCCTCAAACACCGTGTCACTCAAGCCCAGACACTTGAGCCGGTTAGCTTCTGCTTTCTGCAGCTGTCTAGCCCCATACGTCTCTAACCAGACGTTCCCAACTTCTTAACCATAATATATAACCCTCCACCCGATTTTCTTTATCCTGTCAGGAAACGAAGAAGCAAAATTGGCTTTAAATTATATTCTTCCAGGCAGCCGGCTGGCCTGCAAGAATGCTATGTTGACCCCCGGAGGGGGGGGGGGTTCGGGGAGGTGATGGATGGCTGTAGCCTGCAGGACAAGTGGCGTGTGGGGTGAGGTGTATGTATATGGGGTGTGGGCTGTGTGTATGTGGGGTGCGGTGTGGGGTGAGGGTATGGGGCGGGCAGACACGCCGAGGCAGGCTCAGGATCCCGACTGCAGCCGGCCGGGGAGGGCGCGGGGAGGGGCGGCCGTCTCACCTGCGGCTCGCAGAACTTGGCGCCGTAGGGCGCGGGCGGCTCGGGCCGCCGCTCCGGCCTCTGCTCGAACACCGAGTCCTCAAATTCGCCGCCGAGCACCCAGCACCCGGCCTCCATCGCGCGCGCAGCCGGCCCGGAAGCCGGGTGACACCTAGAGCGGCTCCCGCCCCAGCCTCCGAAGGCGCCGGCAGCCAGGCACCGAGACGACGTGGTGCCTAGAGCGGCGCCGGCGCGCGACCCACCGGAAGCGGTGGGCTTTCGGCCGGAGCGTGGCATTCTGGGAGTGGTAGTCTTTTAGACGCTTAGACGGGCTGCAGCCCCAACTGGGAGTCGCGGTGGAGCAGAAATTTGTAGCTGACTGTCCGGCTTCTGGAACCCAAAGGGTTTGACTTCTGTCAGGAGCTGGACGGAGTGCTTTCCCTGCGCACAGCCGGCTATCCTAAATTCCAGTTTAAACACCGGCGATATTCTCACACATTACCCCTCCCCGTTCGCATTTTCTGTCCAATGCAAGAAAGGCAGTAACTCCTGTTTTGTTTTTTTCTTTTTTTGGTTTTTTGAGACAAGGTTTCTCTGTATTGTTTTGGAGGCTGTCCTGGAACTCGCTCTGTAGACCAGGCTGTCCTCGAACTCACAGAGATCCGCCTGCCTCTGCCTCCCGAGTGCTGGGATTAAAGGCGTGCGCCATCAACGCCCGGCTGTAACTCCTGTTGTGTAGACGAAAACATTGGGCTTGAAGAGGCCAGGTAAACTAGCTGAAAAGCCCTGCGTCTCTGCAGACCAGAACTACTCACGCGCTTAGAAAAAAACCAGACATCGACATGTAAAGGCTCGGTCAGACCAACAGGGTTGTGAGACTTTCAAGAAATGTCCTGGCTCTGGGAAGTTAGGATCTCGGACAAAACACTACTGAGAACGCTTTGCTTTCCTCACACTCGATCCTCGTCGACCATTTGTCTTTCAGGGTTCTTTCTACTTTCGACTACAGACTTATGGGCAGCCTAAGCCACCTTCCCCGGCTAAAAAATCCTTCTGCTCATAATTCACAAAACGTGGAACCCAGCTGTGTGCTCTGCAGCCTCACTGGCAAACTCCACTTCCGGGGGCAGCCTTCAGGTGGTACCTACCCATGGATTCATCCATTTGAAGTAGCTAGGTAGGGGGTTGTTTTGTTTTCCCATCAGAAATGCAATACTCCATATTAAGAAAAAATTGGACGGGGGAAGATTGGAGAGATGGCTCAGTGGTTAAGAGCACTGATTGCTCTTCCAAAGGATCCGGGTTCAATTCCCAGCACCCAGATGGCAGCTTACAACTGACCTTAACTCCAGTTCCAGGGAATCTGACACCTTTACACAGACATACATGCAGGCAAACCCCAGTGTACAATAAATAAATAAATAAATGTTAAAAAAATAAAAAATGGATTTTATAAGAAAAAATCCATAATACCATAACCGAGAAAAAGAAAAATGAGGTCCTTTTGCCCCGTGTGTCTGGCTCCCTGGCTTCACTAGCTGTTCAACCCAGTATGTGAAATGGGTATTGATTAGAATAGGCTTGTGACATTTGCCAGACGGCCAGCGGGTGACATGAGCTCATTCAAAATAAACCCCTGCTCCGGGAGCAGAGTAAGAGAGCAGCAAAGGCAGGCAAGGGGGCTTCCGGCCCTTTCTCTATGAAAGCTGTTTGCTCTCCCTCTGCTCTGAAGCCAGCTAGCCTCCTGCCCAACAACTACCTGAGCTAGGGCTTGCACTGAGAGGGCAGCCTGCTGTTTTAGGGCTGCTCTTTGGACTCAAGATTCTTAGGCTCAGCCGTTGCCAACCTTTTGCCTCTAAGCCTCCTTGGTTACTTTACTCCCGCAGCTGTGCAGATTGGTGTACAAAATACAGCTATGTTTATTGACTAATAATTGTTTCCCTTTCCTTTGAAAAAACTGAACCCAAGTCTCATATAACAGCCAACCCAAGTTTCCACCCAGCATTGCCTCGGCCTGTGGCAGAATTCCTGTTGAAAGTGAGAATGTAGTTGTTAGGACCCTGGGAAGCCTGATGGACAGCAAATGTTAGAATTAGGACTTTGCCAGTAATGCAGTTTGAATCTCCTATTGCAGTTTGTTGCAAGATGTTTAATTACACTGTGTAAAAATATGTCACTGTGATTGGCTTAATAAAAAGCTAAACATCCAATAACTAGGCAGGAGGTATAGGCGGGGCTTCTGGACAGAGAGAGCTCTGGGAAGAAGAGAGTAGAGTCGCCAGCCAGATACAGAGGAAGCAGAACCTATAGGAGGAGGTAAACACCACGAACCATGTAACAGCACAGAGATCAATGGGTTAATTTAAGTTTTATGATCTAGCTAGAAACAAGCTGAAGCTAAGGCTGAGCTTTCATAATTAACAGCAAGTCTCTGTGCCATTATTTGGGAGCTGGCTGGATGGGACAGAGAAAGACTCGATATAACAGTTGAGGAGCCAAGGTCTGGGAGCCTGAGTTGCAAAACACTGTCTCACCTGATAAGCCCAAGACCGTAAACCAATAAAACAAGAGGGCATCAGACACAGTAACAGTTAAATCTAGGTAGAAAATTATTTTCATTGATACTTCATATATAATTTTGCTGCTGCCATGAACTGTAATGAAAATATTTTTGGAGATACTGGAGTCACAACCCACAGGTTGGTCTATATTTAGGAGTAAACAGGATTTCTACAACTATCAAACTGAGTAGCTGTGATTTTTAAAAACATGTTTCTATAGCTTAATAGCTATAAAAACTCTTAGTTTTGATTGAGGTACCTGTTTGAGTTGCCCATCACAAGGCAACACTCTGCTGTTGTTATTTCCCACTGTCGAATTCCAGGAAGTGTAGACAGTGGGAAGGTTAGGAGCTGGCTGTCTTTTTCACTCTTGTAAACCTAGCTCCCGGACATGCCTTGGGCAGAGCAGCTTAATCGATGCCTGTAAAATGTTTGTGCGATGGCAGAGGAGGAACAGCCAGGAAGGCAGGAAAAGCACTTCTCAGCTGCGGCTGGTGTGTTGGTGTCCTGCCTGTGACCTGGGCAGGACAGAGCCGAGTTTTCCTGTGAAATGTTTCCCAGGGTAGACCATGACCCTACCCTTCCTGCACCCCGTGACCCTAAATGAGCCCTGCTCTCCAGGCAGCTGTTCTCAACAGGCCTACCACAGTCTTCCCCTCCTCTGGCAACCCTCCCTGTCCTCACCAGGTACCAACTCACCATTCCCGTTACCAGGAAGCCACCCCACCCCAGTGCCCTTTACCTGTCTGACTGATTCCCAGAATCCTTTCCTACCTCCCTCCCCCCTCCCTCCCCGGCCAGGCTCGCCCTGCCTAGGTTCACACACCCCCGTGTCCAGGGCCGTTTGTGTTTCCAAAGGCTGGGGTTGAGGCTTTTTGGTTTTTGTCTAATGCTCCCGTGTCAGTCACCCGCAGTAGGCCATGAGCTCGTTTGGGCAGCTGACCTCCACGTGAGCAGTCTCTGGCACCCAGTCAGCCCTGACTCCTGTTGAGTGGGTTACACTACGCTGCCACAGAACATTCATGTACATGTGCGCATTCTCCGCACCGTTCTGTGTCTGGGGGCCCATGTGTGTTCACGTAGAGCACGCTCAGGTGGCGAGGACTGATACACACACGCGCAGGCTGTTTCCTTGCGCATTCTGATACTGCGCGGGGGTGGAGGTTTCAATGGGAAAAGGATCCGCAGCCCAGGCTCGCAATGCTGCTCCCCGGCTTGTATGGAAGGTGGCCTGTGGGAAGTGGGCCACTGGGGGCAGGCCCCTGAAGGTTTTATCTGCTTTCCGTTCCTGGCCAAGGCTCCTGGTCTGTCGAGATGGGAAAAGCTTCACGGCACACTCCAGCCCACAGCTCAGACACTTCCGCCAGCTGAGGCACTTGCCATGACAAACTGAAATGCCTGAGACCACGCCTCTGTCACAGTGAGCTGACCCTTCCTGGATTCCCTGATATAAAGGCCTCCATGATGACGCTGTCTCTGCTCTTCGGAACCAAGCAGTTTCCCTGAGCCTGCTTTTTGGCTCTATGGAGACGTGTGGACATTCCTTTTTCCACTTTGCATCTTTTCTCCTTAAACATTTATCTATCTGGGTGGGGGCAAATGTCACACGTGACAGTCAGAAGACAACTAATGTGAGTTTGTTTCGAAACTCCTCCTGCCAGGAGTCAAACTCAGCTCATTGGGCTTGGAGGGGCCAATGACATAATCAGTGGGCCATCTTGCTGGCCTTTCTGTTTGTTTCTTTTGCTGAAAACTGTCCCTTCTGTTTCCGGCATGAGTGCTATCCACTAATCCTCATGAATAATTTACCAACATACATTTCTCATATTGTGCAGATTTTTTATAGTACACTCATTGATTCAACTGAAGTCCGTGTTTATCTGCTGTAAGAAAAGTACTGTTTTCAGAATGGAGCATACAGTGGTAAATGGGGCAGATGAGATCCTTACACTGAGGGCTGGAGAGATGGCTCAGCCCTCAAGAGCTCTTGCTGTTCCTGGAGAGGACCAGAGTTCCCTTCCCAGCACCCACATCAGGCAGTTCACATTCACTCTAGCTCCAGGGTATCTGGCGCCCTCTCTGGCATCTATAGGTAACTGCACACAAGTGTGCATAATCTGCTCAGCCACCCAGTATAGGTGCTGTAATTGAGCGTGGACCCTCTGTAGAAGCTAACACGGTTATAATGCTACATCATCTCTCCAGCCCCTGGAATTACATTTTTGTTTGATGATGTATAAGTTGCAACTTACCCAGTTTATTTATCCTTGCTCTCGAGTAAGTCTATTTCAGAGAAGGACAAAAATAATTAGTCTCTGTTCTCAGTGTGCAACCCAACCTCCTAAAAATGCAGGAAAGCCTTTATTGCAAATTATTAGACATGTCTGTTCTAACATCCGGGGACTGCTTCAGGACTCATAAAACACCCACTTACTTTATATAACTTGGAGTCCTGACTAAAAAGCAGTGGCTGTTGTTTGAAAGTGTTAAAAAAACATCTTGGGGCAGATGATTAGTCAAAACAAAAATCACAAAAACCAGAGAGGAACGAATGGGGAGATTCGTTATTAAAAATCTCTTGTGCATTTGGGAGCTATGCAGACGCTCAGAGCAAGATGTGTGCACCAAAAAAGACACGGGGGATGTTGAGCTCTTAGTCTGAGTGGGTTCTAG